GGCTGAGGTCTTCACCACTGGTCTGACCGCAGAAGATCCTGGCCCAACTGAAGTCTTCGCTCCCGGCCCGCCTGAGGCGTTCGCTCTGGGCTTGACTGCAGAAGAGTCCGGCCCGCTTGAAGTCTCCGCTCCCAGCCCGCCTGAAGAGGTCCTCGTCCCTGGCTCTTTGGCTGAGGTCCTCGCTCCCAGCTCTTCTGCTGAGGTCCTCGCTCCCGGCTCTTTGGCTGAGGTCCTCGCCCCCGGCTCTTCGGCTGAGGTCCTCGCTCCAGGCTCGTCTCCAGAGGTCCTCACTCCAGGCTCGTCTCCAGAGGTCATCGCTCCGGGCTCGTCTCCAGAGGTCCTCGCTCTTGGCTTGTCTCCGAAGGTCCTCGCTCCTGTAGTGGTGTCAGGGCCAGCTTAGCTGCACCTTTCACTAATAATTATTTAAATATAACGGGTTCTCTCTTTTTCGAGTTAAATTAAGGCCATGTGACGAGGTACTGTGAGGATTGTGTTTAAATCAGTGACATGAGACGTTAATTTCCTTTGACCCATCAGAATAAATGTGGTCATTTATTGAACAGAATCAAAATTTAACATCAAACATGTACACGTGATTAGCTGATCTGGTTCTGATTAATAAAACTTGGCACATTTTACTTAAAAAGACAACAAGACATTTCTGAAGGCATTAAAATTACTGGCAAAATAGATGAGTTTTAAAGGAAGGAATGAAGAGAAAAGATGGGTAAAGGGGAGTGTCTGTTCGGACAGCAGAATGGCATGCTCCTTTCAACACCAGCTCAAAACCTGCAGTATACTTGGCGCATCATGACTCGTTACCTTTGCAGAAATTAATCAGCTCCGGTGTCGGGTCCATTTCAACGCTACCTTCCAGCGTCTCCGGTAAGAGCGGCTGGCCATCGTCAGGAGTCGTGTCGCTTACTCCGTTCAACAAACACGCTCATCTCCCGGGTGGATACCCAGCAAGCTATCAGTCCGTCAGCATTTCCACTCAGATGTGGAAGACTCCATCAAAGACTCAGAAGACTGACTTGAAGACTGAGAGACTCAGGAGACTCAGGAGATTGAGAACTCAGGAGACTTCACCAGACTCCGTAGTTCCAGGAAGTGTGGACTTTTAAAGAGTTCTCACTTCTGGTCACTTCAGGACTTCCTGATTGGTTGAAACAACCAACAGGAGGTGGTTCTAGTGATGTCAGAGGGTTATTACAAGTCAAGAAAGTGCAAGAATGTTTAGGAACTTTTAGTACAGACAGGGAAATGTTTTGAGGAAGTGAGAAACTTTGCAGGTGCCAGTGTTTCTCTTTTTACCATCTGCTAGGTTTAAAAACAATACAGCCTGTTCTAAAAACTTCTTTCTGACTGTCTCTGACTTTTGACCGACATCACTACTTCTCATTCAGACAGAAGATCAAAATGCATAATTACTTTGTAAATAGACATTTAACTTGATTTCTAATTTAAATGAGGTGTAAAAATTCATTAATACTGTTTCACAGTTGATTTAAAATGAGTGGTTCACTTCAACATTTAGAAATGGTATGAACTAAACACACTTTTGATAATCAAGATATTGTAAAATAGTAATGATAATATAAAAGAAGAGTGTTCTTTCAATTGATTACTTCAGGATACAGTTAGACAGTCTCTGGATGAGCTCATTTGTATTTCTGGATTCAAATCAATGAAATAACAGTTCATGTCCCATGAAGGTCTTCAGAGGCAGGTTTTGGTCGGAGGCCGAGTTCACTACACTCCTGAGTCTACCACAGAAGATCTTTGGTCTTCAGAGAGCTCAGGTTCCTTGCCTTGCCGCACCCATGGTCAGTCTTTCGATGTCTCCGCTCCTGGCTCGCCCACCAAGGTCTTCGCCCGTGGTCCGTCGGCTGAGGTCTTTATCTGCCCAAGTTCAGGAGGGGTCAGATGCACACCACTGCTGCCCACAGGTGGACGGTTTCCTAGCCACCCACCAGAACTCTGGCCTGCGGATGGATGGTTTCCAGGCCGCCCTCCTGATCTCCTGTCTCATTGGGGACAGTCACCTGGCTGCTCACCTGAACATTGGACCTGCCTTGGGCAGACTCCTGACCGTCCACCTTGACTCTCGGTTGGGGTCCTGGTACTCGTTGTTTGTGTCTAGAGTTCCCCAGGTTTTGCCTGTCGTTTGTTTGTTCTTTTTGTCCTCTGTGTTTTTTCGTCCTGTTTTTGTCCCGCCCCCCACCCAAGTTGGATGTAGCATCATCCTTGGGATGTCAGGAGCCATCCCTTGAGTGTGGGGTACTGTAGGGTTTTTGGGTTTTGTCCTGTCTTTGTTTCTTTCCTCATGTTTCCAGTCAGCTCTCCCTCCTTGTGTTTAGCCCTTGTCTCACCTGTGTCTAATAGTAATCACCGCAGGTGTCTGTCGTTGTCCCAATCAGTGTTGTGTATATATTCAGTTCCCTTGTGTCTTGTCTTTGTCTCCGGATTATCCTTCTATGGTGTTGTGTTTCTGCCTTTCGTCCTGTGGTTATTAGTAAGTAAGCTGCCCCATCAGCAATTGCTTTGTTTTTGTATAATAAATATTTTGATTTTCCACAAGCCTCCTGTCATCCTCCTGCAATTGGGTTCAACCCTCCTGACGGCAGAACGCGACATTTCCAGAATTCTGAAGGCCTGTGGGGAACACTAATCTGGAGTATTTGCTGATATCTTCAACCTGCCATTAGTCCAGGCAGTAGTCCCCTGTATTTTCAAATACAGCATCATCATATACCAGTTCCCAGAAGTCCAGACACATCCACCCCTAACAGCTACAGGCCAGTGGCACTAACATTTGTCACCATGAAATTGCCTAGAAATCTGGTTCTTGTGAAGAATAAAAACAATGTTTGATTATAAATTGTGACAATAAAAATATTTAATCATAAATTTGGAGAATAAAATAATGTGGGTTGGTTGGTATAATGTTTAATTATAAATTGTGAGAATAAATAATGTTTGACTATCAAGTATCTGTACAGCACCAGAAAAGACAGCTAAGAAGTGTGTCTGTGGCTGATTGGACCGGATGAAAAAGGAGATGGACTTCGGAGAGTGTGTGGTTGTGTTTGATTAGACAGAAATCAAAAGCAAGAAATGTCACTTGGATGTGTGGAGATGACAGTTTGGAGGCAAAATGGAGGAGGAGCAACGTAGTCTGTAAGGGTGAACGCAGACCACACAAACATCAGAATTGTGAAGGGGTCGAGGTATAAAAGGTAATTACACAATTCTCCAGATCTGTACACTCGTTCATACATTTATGTGTTTAGAAATGAAATTGTTGTTAATTCTAAAGAAAACGTGTGATCCTTTCCAAGCAAACCAACCTGGGGAGGTCATCAGAGCAGATTTAGGACCTCAACATACTGAAGCACATCAACCGCATGGTCCCAGATACTGTCGACCCCCTCCAGTTTGCGTACCGCCCTAATCGATCAGTGGATGATACGGTAGCAATATCCCTACACCACAATCTGCAACACCTGGAAAGCAGCAGAACATATGCCAGAATGATCTTCCTGGACTACAGTTTGGCTTTCAATACCATCCACCCAGGTAAACTGATAGAGAAGCTGACAGACCTCGGAGTCCCAACTCCCACCTGTAACTGGATCCTGTACTTCCCAAGTTGCGACAGATAGACCACAGGTAGTGAGAAAGGGAGGATGGGTGTCTGCTGAAATAGTCAGCACAGGATCCCAGCTGGGCTGTTGCCTAACCCTAAACTCTTTACCTTGTACACTTGTGTTCTATTTGACTGAATCTGTTTTGTCACAAAACACACAAAATTTCCTAAAGTTTTTCCTCTCTGACCTCTTAATAACATAATTTTGCACAAAAGCGTAACACCAAAGAAAAGCCACATAAGATCTAAAAGGACATTCAGTCTTGAGTAAGTATTTATTTTATTCTTAATTAAGTTGATTTGTCTACTCTACAATATTTTACAATGACTTAAAAGTTCACATTTTTACAAACTGTTACAAGAGATTTTACCATTATCTGTTTTCTGTAGTCATTTCCAACATGCCTTTTATTAGATTTACATCAAATCATCCTTCAAATGCATGTTTAATAATTTTATTAACTTACAATATAGTAACATATGGGGACCTCAGGTAAGTGCCGCAGTCTCATAATTCTGAGACTGCAGGTTTAAGCCCAGGTTATGTCATGAAATGCATTCGGCATAAAATTATTGCAAAATCTTTCCTGCAAGTTTGCCCTCTGTAGCAACCTCTGCAGAAGGGAACAGCTGAAAGAAAAACAACAACAACTTAATAGCATACACAATTTTACAAGGCTAGATTAGTGCTTGTAGATGGCCTCCTAATTTTAACGTTTTTAAATATAAATGTTTAATTTCTTGTTTTTGCTGAACACAAGTAATTTGGTTGAATATAGGTGGAAGGAATGAGGCCAAAGACAGATTTATCTTGGCTACTGAGTGTCTTTTTGCTCCCATGGTAAATGTGATTCTTACGGACATAAAATAGATTTTCTCTAATGAAATATGAGCTGTGCATATTTTAAAGGATTTTACACTTTTGTGAACTGTTGCTTCTTTAGCATAGCCAGTACGAATTTAACTAGAAAAGATAACTCAAAGAGAAGCCAATAAAAGGAAAAATTTAATGAAATGTCAAGGTATAACCAAAGAATACATAGGAAAAATTCTCATTACATGCAAGGCGGTATATTTTATATATTAATTTATAAATCCATCCAGTTTAAAGTTAAATTACTTAGCATATTATTAGCACATTATTAGCACATTATTATTATTAATATTATTAGCACATTATTAGCATAACATCACATTCAAATATTATTCACAAAATAAAAAATAAAAACTTTGTACAAACTGTAACATATGTTTTATGTCTGCTAATTTTCTTAAACAAACAAAATATAACACACAGGAAATCATATTAAAATAACATACTGAATTATTTACACAAAACCCTAGACAGCCTTTACCTAAACATATTTTTTGAACGATTATTTATTTTTAATATTTTTTTCAAGGAAAGTTTGATTTCTTGTGTCTGTAAAACATAAATAATTGGATTCAACATGGGTGGAAATACTGAGGTCAAAGACAGGTTTATGATCCTGGCATTTAGTTCTATGTTTGCACTCATAGTGAATGTGATTAATATTGGGACAAAATAGATTGCCACTAATGAAAGATGAGCTGTGCATGTTTTAAAGGCCTTTATTCTTTCTTGAGCTGTGGCTACTTTAGCTAAAGTATAGCCAATGCACATATAACTGGACAAGATGACTGCTAAAGGAATCCAGAGAATAAGAAATGGAAACAAACGACCAATGACTGCATTAGGAAAATAATCATTACATGCAAGTTTGTATATCTGGCCATGGTCACAGAAATAGCTATTGATAACCACAGACTTACAGAAGGAAAGTCTTGTAAGAAGACCAACTGCAATTAAAATAGCAATTATGGCAAAGATCCAGAAAAAGCCAATCAAGGAAAACATCCCCCTATTAGTTATCTTTGTTTGATAATGCAGAGGAAACATGATAGCCACCAAACGATCATAAGAGAGAGCAACCAGGTTAAGAGCCTGCAATGACAGAAAAGTAAAGCAGAAAAAAAGATAAGTCATACAGTCATTGTATGAAACATTGTAGTTATTAAACAAAAATATGTCAAGCACTTTTGGCACCAGAGCAGTGCTCTCTAACAGGTCCACCAAGGCCAGGTTGAAAACAGCAACATACTTAGGAGTTCTTAGATTATGATCCAGATATATAACAGCCATAACAGCTGTGTTTCCAAGCACTGAAACAATGTAGACAAAAAATAGAAATACATAGTAAAACTTTACATGAGGTACACCAATAAACCCCCTTATTATGAAATAAGCAGGACGAATAAAAGTTATATTTTTTCCAAGTGCTGAGTTGTAAAGGTCCATTGTGAAAATATTGGGAAGTCTCGATGCCTCCAAGCACACAACAGTGCATATCTTTTTAAAGCTACACCAGTTGTGAAGCTTTAACAACCTTTAACTGGAGACACTGGCAGAATCAGTATATGCATTTGATCCCAGGAGTCAAAGCTTTGTTTGGATTGTGGTGATGCATCACGTGAACTTTTCAGTTTGTAAGCGGGGGGGGGGGGGGGGGCAGCCCTTTATGTAACAAATCATAGCATTGAGCAGAGTTAATGAAACTGTAGTACTCTCACAGGATGAGGATGTTCTTAGTCTCAGACAGAACAAAAATAAAGTTGTCATATTCTGTAAGATTCATTGTAAACTGCTCTTTTATGAATTTGAATTCCAACATACATAAAGTAAGCACACATTTATTGTCTAGACAAAAGGAAATATTTTGTCAGTTAAGGAAAAAGAAAGCCAATAATTGCTTCTACTGTAAGACGTGAGAACAAAATAGAAGTTCCTAGAAAGAAAATATGTAAATCGTACGCTTTCATTTATCGAGACATTTTTGGTGGTTCATCCTAAACCAACACATGAATGATTTTGTTGCTGCCTGCTCCATCTGTGCCCCACAAGAATGGAAACCAAGCTCCATCAGGCCTACTGCAGCCCTTACCTACTCCCAGTCATCCATGGTCACATCTCTCTAGATTTTATCATGGGATTACCCTCATGTGAAGGCAACACTGTAATTCTCACAGTAATTGACAGGTTCACCAAGACTGCCCATTTCCTCCCACTGGTCAAGCTTCCCTCTGCCTTCGAAACTGCTCACCTTCTGGTCCAGCATGTGTTAGGAATCCATGGAATACCAACAGATATTGTGTCTGATGAGGACCCCAGTTCACCTCCCAGGTATGGTAGGCCTTTTGTAACACACTTGGGCCTCATCCAGCCTAACATCTGGATACCATCCCCAATCCAATGGTCAATCTGACATTGCAACCAAGAGCTGGAAGCTTTTCCAAGGTGTGTAATTAATAATAACCCCTCTGCTTGGACCAGATATCTAGTCTGCAAAGAACACGTTCACAACATCCATACATCTTCTGCTACCGGCTTGTCACCTTTTGAAGCGTCCTTGGGTTATACACCAGCTCTTTTACCTAGTCAAGAATCTGAAATATCTGTACCTTCTGTTCAGCATCATTTTCATTGTTGTTGGAAAGTTTAGTGACAGCCTTGTTATGCACAGCTGACCAAAACAAGAAATTCGCCAATCGACATGCTCTGTCGCCCCTACGTACCAAGTTGGCCTGAAGGTATGGCTTTTCACCCGAGACATCAATCTAAAAGACACCCCCAGGAAATTGGTTTCCACACTTCATAGACCCCTTTCCCATAGTAAAGGTCATAACTCCTCTGCAGTCATACAAAAATTACACACCTCAATGCGCAGCCATCTGCACTACCTTTCATGTATCTCAAATCAAACCTGTCTCTGAGTCTCTTGTGCCCTTCTGCCGACCTCCCTCCACCCCTCTGACTCATTGATAATCATTCGGTCTTTACCATCAGACGTACTCTGGATGTGAGACGCCGGGGTTGGGGATTCCAGTATTTGATCAACTGGGAGGGATATGACCCAGAGGATCTTGGATCCCCAGGTCATTTATTCTATATCCAAGCCTCATCACACCATTCTTTAAGGATCACCCCAAAAAAGGTCTGAGATTGCCTAGAAGCAATTCTTAAAATGGGGGTACTGTAGGATTATAGCCTTTTCTCTGCAGTTTCCTGAGTCCTGGGCGGGGCAAATGAGCAGCAGCTGTGGGTCATCTTCTTGATAAGCTCAAGGAGTATAAAAGGCTGTGGTAGTGTTCCTTTTCCTGCTGGAGAAGTAGGTACCAACCAGTATTGCTGTCAGCCTCTGTGTGATTATCTAACCTAAATAACTGAACTTATCATATTCTCCTCCGAGTTTCTTAGAACCTGCCTCCTGTGTCTCAAGTCCCAGATTCCTTGTCTCCTTCCTCGTGCCTCCAAGACCAGTACTTACCTTTGAAACTCTGCAATCTCTTACCTAGGCTACCATTTAGCTGCTCCACCACTTCACCACTTGCCCATCTACTAACCATTACAATTCTTCTGCTAATCCTCAACCCTGGACCAAACCTACCTGGAATCCTCTGCCCTCCTCTGAATGCTGTGAAACCTTTTACATATCAGTAAGAGATAGAAAACCTGATCATTGCCTACCATTTACCTCCAGATGCAATCCTTACTCTCTTCCTCCTTACCAGGTTTTCCAAGTTCCCTGTATGTATATACAGTCAAGCATCATCATGATGCATGTATGCAGGATGCAAGCATGATGATCACTCAGCCCCCTTTGAATAGCAAGCAACTATCAGGACACTAACAGCAGATTGTTAGGGTGCTAACGATCCCTTGTTAGGCTGATGGTCCTCCTTTTGCATGTGAATAGTTTGTTCTTACTGTCAGCAGCCAACTGGTTGATCCACTAGTAGACCGTTATGGCTTGGTAGAAAGTTTGAATGAGGATGTTGCACACAACAACAGGTATTAAGGTAGCTGGTCACACTGCTAACGTTACAGACAGAAAAGAAGAAGAGCCAAGCGTGCCCACTTTAAAAAAGAAGATTTTTTTTAAACAAAACTTTATTTACATAATAAATTAGCTCAACAGTGTTAAAAACAGGTGATCAGGACAAGTTTAAAATAAAATATTTACATGAGGAGCTTGTTGTATTCTAGTTCTCCCTGGTCAGAAATGGTGCATAAAACCTTCTTAAATCCCCACAGTTTCACAAAATTCTCCAAGTCTCCAGTGTCTCTGTGGAAGTAAAACTCCATCACCAGTCTGGCTTTGATGTTGCACCTCCACAGAGCCATGGCATCAAGTTGGGGTCCAGCCTGCAGTCTGTCCCTGCGAGACAAATAAACAGCCATTTTTGCTTCGGCCATTAAAAAGTTTAACGTTTGGGATTTAAACTTAGTGGCTTTGCTGTAATGTACTCCATTAATAAAAACAGATTTGGTGAAAACTGTGTCAAAAGGTTTCCGGTAAGATGGCGCCCGTGTACATGGCTTGCAATCCACCTCTGCTGATGGTGTTCAGATTATTTTTGTTTTGTTCGTTTTTTATCTGTGATATAGACTCACTGCTAATGTATGACCGACAACAGCTTCTGGATCTTTGTTTTTCTGTCATCGATGTCGCTTATTTGGAACATTATGAGCGTACCTCTGGACGCCACCCCCCGACCCCGACATCGCTTCAGACGCCGGGGAAAACGTGCTGGGCGGCTGGTAAAGCTTAAAGCCCTGCGCACTGCATCTTCCTCTTCTGCTGGTGGTCATGGTTTCCATCGCCAGCTTCCCGCGTGCCCGGACCAGGTAAACAACGGGAATTGTCAGCCGGTACGCAGCTCAGACCGACCCGGAGGGGCTGTTATTGAAAACCTGCGGCCATTGGCGTGCGCAAACTTCATCGCTGCTGGCTCCACTTTGGACAGTATCCGGATGTGTTTGGTCAACGCAAGATCTGTTACCAACAAAACTTTTGTCCTCCGGGACTACTTTCAAGAGCATGAGTTGGACTTTTTGTGCATCACAGAGACTTGGATGTCTCCGGGTGAGTCCAGCGCCTTGACGGAATTATTGCCACCGAACTGTCTGTATTTTAACGGATCGCGGCCATCAGGCCGGCACGGTGCTGGATTATTAACAATATTCAAATCAACTTTTGCCTGTAAACAACTGCCCATCCCAGTTTCTCACGCCAGCTTTGAGCTGAGCATCTTTGAACTCGGCCATTCGCCTCCGAAGTTATTTGCACTCATCTACCACCCACCTCGATCTAAGGATTTCATAAATGAGTTTTCTGACTTCTTAGCTGAAATCACACCAAAATATAATCATGTTTTCATTTTTGGGGACTTTAATTTGCACGTGTGCTGTCCTGAGAATCCCTTGGTGTTGGATTTCATGTTTTATCTTTTATCATTATTTTAATCAAGCTTGAAATTTCTTTAATTACCTTACAATCATTTAAATATTAATCAGTTACTTTGATTTGAATTACTTAGTTAAATAGAATATTAACTTCAGGCAGTTTGTCTAAATATAATCTAGTGGAAGTTCTCACTCACACACACACACACACACACACACACAATCACACATGCAGGGACTGACGCACACACACAGACAAGAATGTAGTTTGCTTAGACATAACTAGTAAAGATGATAGAACTTAATATAGCTGTCTAAACTTAGTAAAGATGATAGAACTTAATATAGCTGACTAAACATAATTAGTAAAGATAGTAGAAAGTAGCATTTAATCATTTAACAAGCATTTAATCGTTTAACAAGTATGCTCAGCTCAAGAGAAAGTTAACAAAGGACCATAAAACCATAAAACCTTATCTTTTGGTATGTGACCTCCAAGGCCGAGGAGCCCCGTAACCATGACAACGGAGTGTTTAAACCAATCAGGAGCAGTCTTTGTTAAATAAGGGAAAGAGTCAGGACCGAGGTCATTGCATTTTGCTGGAGGATTGCCATCAGACAGGTCTGTCTTTGAAATGCCCGTGTATGCATACATTGTAATTGTATCTTTGGATTTCTGAGTACTTGTAAATCTGTCGAATAAATCTCTTTGAACTAAGGAACTGCTTCAGCTGTATTGAACGCCAATGTGGTTCTTATAAGCCACGTCACTTGGTTAAGGACTTTTTAGATTTATTGGACTCGGTTAATCTAAAGGCTCCAGTATACTGCCGCGTATGTCCATTCACGCGTACGTATGCGTGTACGGTACGCAGAGGGCTCAGACATGATACTCCAGCATACACCCCGAGCAGCTGCAGAGCAGCTTCACAGACAAGGGGCGTTTACCTTGGGGACAAATTGAGGTTGCCAATTGGTCATTTGCTGACATGCCTACTGGATTGATTGACAGGTCGGAAAAAAGGGAAAAAAAGCGAGCGCTGGCAGCCTCCGCC